TGCTTAATTCACCTGCTGAGTTAAAAAAAGAATAACTTTATCAAGGTATAATTAATAACATACTACAAAATTTAACCTTTCAAAATGTGCAAATCAATGACTCTTAGGACCCTTACAGACTTGTGAACTATGCCCACTATCCCTCTTGGGAACATTCTTTTCACCCCTAAACAAATTCCAACTCCATTTTCCCCTTTCTCCAGTCTCTGGCAGCCAAGACTCTACTTTCTCTAGATACGGATTTGCTAATTCTGAACATTCCAGACAAATGAAACCATACAATAGTATGTGGTCTTTTGTGGCTAGTCTCTTTATTTAACCCAAGTTTTTCTCAGCTTTCTTCTGAGTTTTTATGCATGATTTTGTGATAAGCGAAGTAATTTTTTATAGTCTTGTTCTATCTTTTGAGGCCTCTTAAACATAGCAACTTCACATTCTATTTTAGGGACTTTCATTTCACCTGTCCTCATTTCGGCTGATCTCACTTAAGCGTCTGCTTTCTTTGATGATTTTTTATTTGGAACTTAAATTTGATTCAGTTGAATCTGTGGAAATCCCAGGTCCCTAAATTGGAGTTGCTGCCCACCTTTGCTTCTGCTTGTGCATATCTACATTGTCCATGCTGCTAATGTACATATACCACAGTGAGTACCTTTTAAATTCATTCTTTCCCAGTTTGTTGTCATTGTTAAGTGAGGTGTTAGGTCAGTTCTGACTCATAGCAACTCTGTAAAGTGTTTCTGAGGAGCAGCTGGTGAGCTGGAACCACTGATCTTGTGGTTCAAACGAACTTTGCAGTCCAGCACATTAACCCACAGTGCCACATCAGGACTCATTAACGTCATAGAGGTTAGGACTTACAACATATAGGACGACTGCATCACATCATAAAATGGAAGATAATCACAGAACACTGAGTATCGTGACCTAGCCAAGTTGGCATATATTTGGGGGAGGGGAGACACAATTCAATCTACGACAGGGTGACTCCCTTGGAGGGCTCAGTGTTCCCCTGTTCCAGCTTTGCAGTCGTTCATGTCTCCCGCAAATCCTCAATCGCCACCATGTCTCCAGCATTGTGCAGGTGGTGAGCTGAAAGTGCTGAAGAATTCATATCCCTTGGAGACCTGGTGGTGCCATGGGCTAAGTGCTGAGCTGCTAACTGAAAGGTCGACAGTTTGAACCCATCAGCTGCTCCTAGGGAGAGAGAGGAGGCAGTCTGCTTGCGTAAAGATTTACAGCCTGGGAAACGCAGGGAGCAGCTCTGCTCTGTCCTTGAGGGCTGCTGTGAGCAGACAGTGGATTTGGTTTGGAGCCACCTTTAATCAATGAACCTGAGGAACTGCTATAAAGATAATGCTGTTCCTTCACTCCTTTGAGGAGCTCATTCCAGGACTCATGTTGGCACCGTATAGAACGCCTAGGGTTTCTCAGGTTGCTCTAGGTCCCCACATGGCAGCTGGGTCAGCACCACCTTCATTGGCCTTCTGCCTTCTCCAAGTCTCCCTGGAATTCTGGACTCAGGCTCTGCTTCTGGCAGCATCCACACCAACACTTCTTGGACCTGAGGGATGGGGGAGGTCAGCAGTGCCCAGAAAACCGTTGTGATTTCCATCACCTAATCCATCCTGGTCCTTCTGTCCTTGGGTTCGGAGTCTCTCTTACTTCCTTTTTATTTTTATTGTGATTTGGGTAAAAGCAGAACAATTGAATTTCCATTCCGCGTTTCGGACACATTTGGTTTCATCACACTGGTTGCAGTCCCCAGTGTTCCAGAACTTTCCCCCGGCATTGGCCCTTCCCCACTCCATTCTTTTGTATCCTTCTCTGCCTTTATTCTCTGGTTGACTGTTCTAAGGCGTGATGTGATTGGTTGGTGGTGACTGTGGAGTCGGTTCCGACTCATAGCGACCTTGTACAGGGTTTCCGAGGCTGTAAATCTTTACGGGAGCAGAAAGCCTCATCTTTCTCCCGCGGAACAGCTGGTAGCTTCGGCCTAGCTGACCTTGAGGTTCCTAGCCAGATTGATTGTAACCACCTGGCTGCCAGATTACCCCCTTAGAATCCTGTTCATTGTTTGGCTGGAAGTTGAACCACTGGGGGGGAGTGTGTAGTTCCAGGCCTGAAGGGTTACAAAGGTCTAAGCTCAGGGTCCCACCAGCCTCTTACTTTCTTCAGAACTCTGCGAAGTTTTGAAAAGAATGCTTTTGAGCCATGATCCAGCTCTTGCCCTCTGCACTTATGAACCCCACTTCTCAGATCCAATGCTAACGATCCCTTTCAGGTCTCAGCTCCAATGCTACTAAGCACAGCCTTCCCAGCCCTAAACCAAACCACCTCCCACTTTGCTCTTTTGTTCCTTTTGTCACTGTGCCCCCCCCCCATTGTGTCAACTTGACTGGGTCAGGGTCCTCATTGCTTTGGTAGTTACGTGATGTGATGATCCCCCCTGATGTGACAACATGATGAAGTCATAAAGGGTTAAGGCGGGTGTGTGTGTGTGTGTGTGTGTGCAACACCTTCCATCCCATCACAACCCAGATCCCATTGGTATGTCCTGCAACATCTTTTATCTTGGGAGAGATAAAAGGAGAGAAGTGAGCAGAGAGGGTTGGATCTACAGTGAAGTGTGTCTTTTGGGCTGGGGGCAGGGGCGGGGGGGCTGCACTGGGAAGCTCCTAGGTCTGGAGGAAGATTGATGCCAAGACACATGGAGATCTTCAGGGAGTGCTGGGTCTACAGATGCTCAGAGGAGACAAAGACCTTTCCCCCAGAGTCACTCCTCTGAATGCAGGCTTGTAGCTTCCTGACACTTACTAATTACGGTATTTCTGTGGTCTACAGATGCTCAGAGTCACTCCTCTGAATGCAGGCTTGTAGCTTGCTAACACTTACTAATTACGGTATTTCTGTGGTCTCAGCACTAGGGAACGAAGAAGACACCCTCTTTTCCTTTGCAGCACGGTAAAGTAGTGAGGTGGGGTTCCAACATAGGCTCTGCCCTCTGAGGCTCACTGTGTGATCTTGGGCAGGGCACTCAACCTCTTTGTGCTATGGTTTCCTTACCTGTATAATGGAAATAATATTACTGGGTTAATAAGGAGCTCTGGTAGCGTAGTGGTTATGAATCGAGCTGCTAACCTAAGGGTAAGCAGTTCGAAACTACCAGCTGTTCCGAGGGAGAAAGATGAGGCTTTCTACTCCAGTAAAGATTTACTGCCTCAGAAACCCTGTACAGGGTCACTATGAGTCAGAATCGACTCCACCGCACATAACAACAACAACACTGGGTTAATATGGAGTCCTGGTGTGGCACTGTGGGCTAATGCGTCAGACTGCAAAGTCGGTTTGAACTGCAAGGTTGGTGGTTCAAACTCACCAGCTGCTCCTTGGAAACCCTATACACAGTTGCTATGGGTTGGAATCAACTCCATGGCACTTAACAACAACTGGGTTAATGCTCTGGGCTGCAAAGTCGGTTTGAATCACCAGGTCCAGTTCAAGCTCACCAGATACTCCTCAGAAACCCTGTAAGGGTCTCTAAGGGTCGGAATCGCCTCAAAGGCACACAAGGGTGAGACTGGAATGAGACAATATTTGGAATGTTTGGGACAGGGTATAAACACAAAGCCTGCGCTCAATGGAGGAGCTGTTGTTTCCACTTGCGGTGCTGTTACTGGTCAGCTCGTGCTAACAGAAGTTTCAGAACACAACATCTATCCTGAGAAGGGTCCAGGCAGTGGAAACCACAGTAGGCGCTGAGGAGAAACGAAGGAAGGAAAGACACAACCGTCAGCTCTTGAAGGGCATCTTACAGGGGCCCAAGTGCAAAGGCACAGCGCGTTGAAAGCTATCTCTCTCCTCTCTCTCTGTCTCTCTCTCTCTCTCTCTTTCTCTCCCTTTCTTTCTCTCTCTCTCTCTCTCTCTCTCTTTCTCTTTCTCTCTCTCTCTCAGAACAACTGGCAGAAGACTTCGAACGCCCAGGCCGGGATTTGGGTTTTGCCTCTGGCTGTGGGCGTGGTTGGAGGCAGAAGTCCCCTGGGCTCGGGCTGTAGGTGGGGGTCGTTATGGGTGATGGTAGGAGGGGATGAGGCTGGGAGGGGAGGGGCCCCCCAGCGCCGGTACCTCCCTCCCTCTCTCTGCGTCTTTGTGCGTTAGCTTCCTTTTGCAGTAAACGTTCTTCAGAGAAATTCCGAGGGGATTTCAGCCAGCGAGGGGGAAGGATCCTGCGAGCCGGGGTAGGGGGTGACGGGGTGGGGGCGAGGAGGCAAGCGGAGGGGGAGTGGGGAGGGCGGGCAGGCGCGGGAGTGAGGGTCAGGAGGTACCGGGACCGCAACCTCAGGGGCCCGCGCCCCCTCCCGCACCCCGCCCCTTGCTCGGGGTCCGCGTCTGCGGCTGCGTCCCCGAAAGACGAGGCTGCGCCGGGTTCCGGTCCGCAGGGAGACCGAAGGGCAAGCTCGCGCGCTGCTGCCCTAGCCCCCCAGTGCGGACACCCCGAGGGATGTGAGTGCGCTCCGAACCCGAGGCCCGCGCTCCACGCCCGATCTGCGGTGAGCACTCCTGCGGGGGCCTACGGGACTCTCGGCTCTTAGCCTTGGGTGGGGGTACGACGTGGCACGCCCCTCCCCCATCGGCAGGTAGGGCCCAGGCTCACCTGCGCCTGTCTCTGCTGCTGTCCTCTCGATGCACCCACAGCCCCCAAGGAGCAGGGAGCCCACGCCGCCAGCACCCGGGCGCTGAGGCCAGAGGTGGGGGCATGGCTTAGAGACAGACCCTCTCTCCTAGATGGTGCGATGGAACGGGTGTGGGTGGGACTTGGGACGTTGCAGATCGACCCTACCTACACCCCCCACCCCCACCCCCCGTACCTGGGAGGAAGGGAAGGACCTGGTGGGGTCCTGAGCCTAGGGGGCCCTGGCTGCCTTCTGACATCGCGTCTCTCCCCAGATCTGCTCCCCCAGGACCCTGGCCTGCCGCTCCTCCCCCAGGCCCATCTTAGCATGCTGCCCGCCGTCATGAAGGGCCTCAGCCTGGCACTGTTGGCCGGCCTTCTGTGTGCGGCGCCCGGTGAGTGGGGGCGCCCTCAGGGTGTATGGGGGGGCGAGACCGCTAAGAGTGAGGTGGCGGTGGGGGCCACCCTCCACCTGCCATCGCACTTCCGATCGGAGGCGAGGCATAGAGACCGCAGGTCCCTGCCCGCCCTTCTCTGGCCGTCCTCCTCTGCTCCCCACCTGCTCTCTCCTGGTCACCTGCGGCTTTCGGCGGGAGAGCGGCCTCATTCCCCTGGTGGCCGGCTCTGCACTTGCACCTCCCCAAAGTCCTGTGTCCTCCTTGCAGGCCAGAAAGCCCTGACGTGGTGTGTGTGTGTGTGTGTGTCTGTGTGTGTAGGGGAGGCCAGAGGTGGGAGGGATGCAGGAGAGAGAGATGGCAGAGCTACCAGTGCACTGGGTGGCCCACCCTCAGGATCTCTGGCGGCGCGGGCTCTCCCAGCTGCTGTCCCTGGGCGCTGGGCATCCCTCTGCTCATGTTCCCTGCCTCTACGCCTGCCCAGCTCAGGGCCTGTGGTGTCAGGACTGCACGCTGACCACCAACTCCAGCCATTGTACTCCGAAGCAGTGCCAGCCGACAGATACCGTGTGTGCCAGCGTTCGGATCACCGACCCCAGCAGCAGTGAGTCGGAGTCGGGGTGGACGCTGTGCTGGGTGGCCGCGGGTTGTACCTACCCCTCCTGGACCTTCAGGGGCACTCTGTGGAGTTGGGGTGGTGGGATGGTGGAGATAGATGCCTCTGGCCCAACTGCCCTCCTCCCCCAGGCAGGAAGGACCACTCTGTCAACAAGATGTGCGCCTCGTCGTGCGACTTTGTGAAGCGTCACTTTTTCTCAGACTATCTCATGGGCTTTATCAACTCAGGGATCTTGAGAGTGGACGTGGACTGTTGTGAGGAAGACGTGTGTAATGGGGCGGCTGGGGCTGGGGGCAACCTCTGGGCCCGGGCTGGGGGGCTCCTACTCAGCCTGGGGCCTGCCCTCCTCTGGGCTGGGCCCTGAGGTTTCCCTTCCTGCAGGGCTTCTGAGGGTGCCCCCCTGAGCCTGTCCCTGCCCTGTCCCCAGCCTGGCCCGGCTGGGGCTGGGGCAGCTTGAGCTGGTTCCACACAGTCTGTGGCTGTTACCCCTCCCCAATATGAGTATCTTCTCAGTCTCTCCACCAGCCTCAAGTCTCCGGCCGTTGGTGCCTGGGAAGTCGGGCAGGGGTCTCTGAGAGACAACTCCAGACCAGCAGCCTGGACTGAAGGGCATCTTCTGAATTCAGAGACCAGGGTTTGAGCCAGGGCTTGGGCAGGAGGCCCTGGCAGGCAGTAGGTAGTAAAGGGCTGAGAGCACAGGCAGTGGGGCTGGGGAGGCGTCCCTCTGAAACTCAAGACCACAATGCACAATATTCTCGGGCCACCTGGAGCCACCTTGAGTCAGGGGAGGACTTGGCCTGTAAGGTTTAGGGGCACATAAGGTAGGCGTAGTTGAGATGCACAAGATTCTGGGGAGCGACGTGAAGGGGAAGGCGTTATAACCGTGTGAGCATGCAGGACATACATGGACAGATACACTTATATGAACGCATGCACAAACTCACACACTGATGTGCACACACACCTAGTGTGTACACAAACCCAGTATACACACACCAGCACTGCCAGCACACATTGTGTGTGCATACAATGCACACCCTTAGTGCACGCCCCCAGTGCACACACTAGCACTGCCCATACACCAAGTGCACACACAGTATACACACCCCCAGTGCACACACAGAGTGTACACCCCCAGCACTGCCCATACACCGAGTATACACACACAGTACACACATCCCCAGCACACCCCAGTGCACACCCCGATGCACACATATATCCGGTGCACACACACCAGCACTGCCCAAACACCAAGTGTACACACACAGCACACACACCTCCAGTGCACACCCTAACACCCTAGTACACAACCCCATGCACACCCCCTCCCGGCATGCGTGTACAATGTGTGTACAAGCACAGGCAGTGCATACACAAATCTGCACACTCCTATGTCACTCCCCTCCACCAGAGGTCCTCTGCATTGACCACACACCTGCTTACATTCCCCGTGGCCACACAGATGAGCACCACCCCCTGGTGTCACAGTGCCCTGCCTGCACACGTGTGTACTCACAGACCCACAGACATGTCCAGGTGTAAGACTCCTGTTCCACTCACTTGCTTTCTCTCTTAGCCCCTGGGGTGGTCAGTTTCGGGATCAGCTCCCCGCTCCGGCACCTGGGAGCTTGGCATGGGAGACTTCCTGAGCCCAGATGCTGCTTCTTAACCAGAGCCCCGTATTAAGTTGGGTCAAGCTTGAGCAGGGTTCCTGGTAGGGGGGACTGGTGCAGAACCCACCCAGACAATGGGGGTTGCTGAGTGGAAGCAGAGGAGGATACACCTGCCAGTCAATTTCAGGTGCTGCCTCTCCTGGCCCTTCCTGTTTCAGGTATGTGTGGGGGTGTCGATTTCATCTCTGCTCCTTGGCCACCCGCCATGCCCCTGTGACCCCAAGGTTTGCAGCCACCACAGGGTTTTCCTAGGCTCTGGTCTGGGACCAGTCCTTCAGAACCTCTGTGACTGGCCCAGGCTTGGTGGGGCAGGGAGGACCTGCTGGGCCCCAGACACCCTGGAAAGAAATATGAGTCCTTGAAGTGCTGGTCTTGGCATTCCTGCAAGGGGCTCCTCTGCCGGAGCCATGGAGGGAGGGGGCTCTAGTGTCCCCCCGAGACCAGTGTCACCTTCCTGCTGGTGGAAAGACTGAGGGATTTCCCTTTAGTGGGGCTTCTCCCGTCCAGTTTTCCGTTTGCTCTGCAGCTCTGCGATGTACCCCCTCCCACCTCAGTAAAATGTGCTATCTTCTGCCTGTGTCCTGTGCTTTGCGGGCTGGAGGGATGTGGGTGAGCTGGAAAGCTGCTGCCCTGAGACTGAAGGTACCAGGAGGAAAGTCTATTAGTCATTCTGAGATGAATCTATATGTGGCTAATTTGTTACTTGGGGAAGACTTTAGAGACACAGAAAGGAGCAAACTTCTCCCCCCTCTGTTGGAAATTAGATAGAATTAGAAGTGAATGGAGCAGCATTCAGTGGGGTGCCAGGGTGGGGAGGGGCAGCTACAAGCAAGGCCTGGCCTAGAAGTCTCTGCCTTCCCACTACAGAGTTGCTAACTCTTACAACATCTTTCTCATCTCTAGAAGAGTTGAAGTCTAGTACAGTGCTCACTCCGATACGCTGCTGAAGGTTCACCTGCGTCCCTCATGGTGCAGATGTCCATCTGCCACTGGGTTCTGTCCACTCAACATGTCTGCAGGCCTTGGTGGGCACAGGGCTTGTTCTCTAGTCCTTGTCTTCAGCACAGCTGACACTATTCCCTCTGTCATCGCATCGTAACCAGCTCGAGGGGTTATTTGTGTAGGGGTGCTTCCGAGAAGTCAGTGAGCAGCTGGGTCAATACCAACTCGTAGTGACCTTCAAGGACATAGTAGAACTGCTTCCCAGGGCTTCCGAGACAAAATCAGAGCTGACAGCATCATCTTTCTCCCAGGGAGCAGCTGGGCTTGAACTACAGATTTCACAGTTAACCAGCCCAATGCTTAACCCATTGTACATCAGGGCTCCAGAGAAAATATTTACTAAAAAATGCAATATTCCATACTAGTTACTGTGGAATTGGCTAACTTATGGACACCCTTGTGTATCAGAGTAGATTTTTCCATGGCTGATTTTCAGAAGTCGATCAAAGCTTTATTATCCTCTAAAAAGGGTCATGCCAATTTACAGTCCCATTAATTCCTTATGCCTGTGTCAGTGATGGATCCTAACTACCAACTGTAGGGAGTTTTGCCAATCTGGTAGGTAAAAGGTAAAATCTTGTTCTGACATTCATTTTAGGACATATTAGTGAGACTGGTCTGCCTTCTCCACGTTAGCTGTTGTTGTGAAGTGCCGTGGAGTCATTTCCAACTCATAGCGAGCGACCCTGTATAGAGTTTCCAAGGAGCAGCTAGTGGGTTTGAACCACCGACCTTGTGGTCCAGCACTTATCCTACAGTGTCACACCATCTATATTCTGTAACCATCTGGTCATACCCTCTGCCCACTCTTCTGCTGTGGTGTTCGTCTTTTCTTATTAAATTGTAAGACCTTTGTTTACTGGACACACAGATCTTTCCCATGTTATATGTTTTGCAAATATTTTTGTGCATTTTGTCACTTGTGTTTTTGTTTATTTTGTCTTAACTGTACATATATGTATGTTCTAAATTTTAATGTGGTTGAATGTGTCTGATTGTTCTATTGTCTCTGGGTTTCCTATTTTAGAAGAAACTTCTCTAGTCTTATATTATGAAAATATTCTCTATTTTCTTCTAACATTTTTACAGATCTGGTCACTACTTTTCGATATTCAATCCATATGGAGTTTATTTATGAAGTGTTATGAGGTAGATATTTCTTCTAAGTTAATGGCTAGCATTTTCCATGTCATTTATTAAATACCCCATCCTGCCTTCCTGCGTTGATTTAAAATGCCACCTATGTAACATAACACATTCCCATATATATCTGGATGCTTCTGCCTACCTGTTCCTCATTGGAGATCACTACTCAGTTTATTACCAGATTGGTACCATGCAGTTTTGATTATGACAGCTTTGCAGTATATTCAATAACTGGCAAGGCAAGTACTGTATTTTTTTTTCCTGCATGCAATGTGCCCATGTAAATAAAATGCATATTCATACAATAGTCTTAGTGCACATAGGAAACAAACACGTGTGGGGTGTGTGGGGTTTGAAATAAATTCATAGAACCTTTGCGTTGTTTGTGTAATACACTACCCTGTCAGTATTCTTTTTGAAAAACCATTGTTACTTGTCAGAAGGTATTCACACAGATCAATTTTGGGATCAATGTGCACAATTCCAGAACAGCATTCTTAGAATTTTGACTGCATGTTCACTTTCTGGGATGTAAAGTTGGGAGGGTTGATGTCTTTACTCTTTACAATTCTCTGGTCAGAACCATGGTGTGCTCTATCATTATGCATTCACTTCCTAAATCATGTCCCTCGGTACACAGTATTGTCGCTTTCTCTGTGTGGCTCTCTCATCATCCTTGATATATGGATTCTAGGTAATTTACAACTTTTGTGGTATTGTGAATGACATTTTCCTCTTCTCTGGAACTCAGTCCTTTCTGGCATGGTGAGCTAATGTTATTTAATTCCTTAGTGTCATTCTTTCCATGTGTACCCGTATCCACCCCTCGTTTAAGCAGGTGGACCAGGATGTGTGCTGCCTCAGGGAGGGTTGAGGGCTGCTTCCCATGAAGCCCTCACATTCCTGGGTTTGTGTTTTCAAAAGCCTAAACTCGTTACCTTACTGGGCTCTGAGGCAAACATCTACAGAGAGAGGCTGGGAGGTGGAGCTCTTCAAAATATTTCAAGACAAGCAGTGGGAGGGAGAGAAGGAGAGACTGCCTTTGTATTAGGAAGAGAAGGTCCTCTGGAGAAGAACATCCAATCTGCAGCCAATCACAGGGCTGCTGCAGGGCTGGACATGGGTCTCCATCAATGGGGCTGACTCCAGGGCAGCTTACAAACACTACCCCTGGATGACAGGAGGAAGGAGAGAGGCGCTGCTAAGGGCAGACTACCTGGGCAAGACTTCAAAGGGAGATGGGTGAGGGTGGTGGGGGCTAGCGTGGTACACAAACAAGGAACTGAGTGGCTTCCTTCAGCCTGGACCAGCACGTAAACAAGAGGAAGACTGTCCGGTGTGCATCGGGTGATGGCCAGGGAGCCTATGGGCCAATGGGGGTTTCAACAGATGTGTGAAACAAACAAGTTTGCCCAATCTGGCCACCGCTGCATTCTGGGAAAGGAGCTGAGAATGCCACGTTGGTAAGAGAACATGTTTCTGTCACTGGTAGGCTAAGGATAGCAATAAAAGGTTATAGAGACAAAGGCTATTTTTCTTGTTC